AAAAAAAAAAACAAACAAAAAACTAACCTGCTTAAAGGTCTAGAAGTGGGCAGACCCACGAGTTTCACTTCACCCTCTGCAATATCAAGTGGAGCATCAAAAACCAACACAGAAATACTAGGTCTACTGTGCATGCACAGTCTAGATGGTTCATTTATTATATCCACTATCATTTTAAGCAACCCAACAGAACAAGAACTAGCAGTAATGCAGCCAGGGCATGATTAAGGATGCCTCTAACAGCATCAACAAACGTGCAGACTACATGGATCACAGCTCAGAAAGATTCCAAGCTGGTGAAATGACAGCTTGATTAGGTTTTGTCTGACAAATGTGGCAAGAGAGATCAGAATCAAACATAATTCCAAGGTTATAGGCCTCCAAATAAAACCAGGAAAAAAAATTCAAAGAGGGCAACAGCAATTTCCCAGACTTCTCGGGCCCAGCTTCCTTAATGCTCAGATGTGACACAGCCACAGCTGCTGCGGCCAGGCAAGCCCCCCCCAGGGAGCACCCCACATCAACAGGGCCCTGCCTCTGGCCTGGGACGAGCTTCGCTTGCTGCATGACAGTCTTCCCTCGCATCGAGGGCCTGACCAGAGAGGCACATATTTGTAATTTAATGGGGAAACATGAAAGTAGAAATACTTTATATCCAGGCAACTGTAGCTTGTTGCTGCCCCAAAGGTCAAGCAGCAACACCCTGTCACCCATATTACTGCACGTAGGCAGACAGGATAATAAAACAAGATAAATATCAGACTGTAAATAAATTTTTCCTTCTTCTTCCCTCCCATCTGTTCTAACAAAAAGCATGAGTCAAAAACATGCAGGGAAATTTGGTTTCTTAAAATATATCACCACAAACAAAAGTGTGCCTCTCCCACATTTTGCACCAATTTCAAACCATACATCCCCCATTTTGGGGGAATTTGGTAAGATAAAGTGGAGACTTCTGGGTTTCCTTCTCATATGGAAAAGGGGCAGGGAAGGATAGGGCTCTTACCCAGGAATAAAATGATCTGTCTCCTGGAGCTCTTGCCCTCTGAGCTCTCACTTTTTCTCAGGTACTGCTCCTGGTGTTTAAGTCTACCCTTCACTGTCACAGTTCCTTCCTTGTTGATCATGAGGGTTTTCATCATGCTGCGGCACATGAAGGTGACAGATCCCAGCACTATGATGTACACAGCAAAGGCGCTGAAGATGCTGGCCTGAAAGACAGTCAACTTGGAGGAGAGGTTGGTACAGATGGTTGCATTGTGCTTCAGCTCAGGGATGTGGTGCCTGGGCATAGGCTTAACACAGGCAGTTGTACCTTGGTAGCCCTCAATAGTTTCCAAGGGATATTCTGTGCCCATGGCAAAGAGCAAGGGCAGAGCCACGATGACAGATGTCCCCCAGACAAAGGCAATGAGCAGCTTCACAGTGCGGGGTCCAGAGATAGCCTTGAACTTGAAGGGGTGGCAGATAGCCACATACCTCTCAAAGCTGAGAGTGGCAACGTGCAGCACAGTAGCATAACTGCAGGCTTCAAAGAGGAAGTAGTAGAGTTTGCAAGCCATGTTGCCATTGGGGGTGGAAAAGGGACTCCAGATGGCACTGAAGAACTCCATGGGCATGCCCAGCAGGATGACCAGCAGGTCAGAGCAGGCCAGGCTTACCATGTGGTCTGTGACCTCCTTCTGCAGGTAGCCTTTCTTTTGCAAGATCCTGGTGGCCTTGATGGTGATGCTGTTGCCCAAGATGCCCGCGACAAAGATGCAGATATACACTGAGGCCAAGGTGACCTTGATCCAAAGAGACACCTCAAACTCAGGGACGTGGCTGTGGTCAATGAGATGAGAACAGTCTGAAGGGGATGTCTGTCCTGCCATGAGCAACCCCTGAGGAGAGGAGGAGGGAGGAAGAGCCTTCCTGCCCTCTCTAATATTCAAATTCACAGCAAATAGGTCCTTCCTCTCTTTGCCTTCTCACGGAGATGGACAGGTCAGAGCAGTCAGGCACAACGAACTCCTCTCAACTAACCACACCTGAGGGCTTTGTCAGCAACAGCCACTAAATCAGTAAGCCAAGAAGGAAAGTACTTCAGCTCTTACCTATCTTTATGGCATACACCTCTTGCTGTGTTTTGGATTTTTCTCCTTTCTCTACCAAGTGATGTTCTCCAGCCCTTTGCAGTGTGAACTGCTCTTCTGCCAACGCCTACCTCTCCCTCTGCAAGCAAAGGCAGCTTCTGTCCCAGCCCCAGCAGAAGGAAGTCGAGTGTTTCTGTGTGGTTATAGCTGCTCTGTTAACCATTAACCTAAATCTTGGGTGCCCTCGGCACTGGCAGCAAAGCAGGTTTAACAAATAAAAAAATAAAATAAAAAAAAAAGCAAGCCACCCATGTCTTGAAATTCACTTCCTGTAATAGGAGCTCCTTCTCAGGGACAAAAGGAGATGTTTCTCCTAAAGCTCTTGGGTGGGTGAGGTCAGGCTGAATGTGTGAACATGCGCTGAAGAGAAAGTATCTACTCATGAGTTTAACATTAACTGGGCTTCAGACTTTACTCCTGCACACAGTAATGCCAATATGCTTCACTACTTTACTTCTCCTTTAATGAAGCCCTCCGCATCTGCTGCAATGGTGTTTCTTATGTGGCTTGTGCAGCCACAGACTGATTTACATCAACAGGAGGTTCTGGTTTTTAGTTGCTGATGATGAGCTGGTAGCTCCGAAAATAATTGTTTAGACTCTAAAGAGATTTCTCACAAGTTATAAAATAAGCTGAACTCTAGATTTAGGCACATCAGTTGTCTCCCTTTAAATTCCCACCTTCTCATGTTAGATAACAAAAATAATGAAGTTAGTAATCCTGATCATGCTCATGCTTTCAAATAATCCGGAGCAGTGGGGGATGAAAATGTACCTCCCCCTCCTGTGTCTCCCCTGAGATGGAATGAATTTAATGCACTCTTTAGTTTTAGTTTCAAACCATAGCACTGAAGGCTCCCAAGGTAACCCCTGTAAACATTTAATTAGAGGGTGTGTGTATGGATTAGGAAACCTTTAAATTACAATGCAAAATGGCAGGACAGCTTTTGCAGCTATAATCAAGAGAGAGGCCCAGTACAGTGATCTGCTCCAATACCAAATCTAAGAACATTGAGTTCACAAAGTGATTTTTATTAACTAGACAAGCTCATGTGACACTTTCAGCTCTTGATAAAAGAGAAACATTAGAAAGCTGTTATTAAGCAGTCTCCTCACATTCAGTGGTTATCACTGTACCTCAGCAGCCCAAGTATATAATGAACAAAAGATGCCCAAAACAGGATAATCAGCACCTGTTTCTATGCATTATTTATGCGTTCCTGTTTCAGAAAAACCACCTCAAACCTTGCACAACTTCAAGCCTGGTAGTCCCAGTCATCTTTCCTTATGTTTGATAATTCACATTTGTTCTGCTTAGACAAGCTTTCTATTATTACCCAATTTCTTTCACTTAATTTTACTTTATAAAAGTGTGAACAAAGATTACATATGCATGACTGAATTGTGGAAATGAAGCTAATTAAAATTTGCTGCTTACCATCAAAAGGGAAAAAGAGAGAGAGAGCGCAAAAGAGAGAGAAGGCCCAATAGGATTAGATCTCCCCCTTTTTTCCACACCAATTATAAAATGCAGAACACAATTTTGCAGCTTTCAATATTATCTTTAGAACATACACAAACTTTATTAACTTTCTAATAAAGAGCCAGTGCCACAAAGGGGATAAGAAGGAAAGAAAATTGTGGATACTCATAGAGTGAGACCACTAAAAAAACAACCTTACTTAGGTTGCTAGACTAGATTAACCATCAGTGAGTGTTCCAGAGACAGGTATAAAATACTGTCATGGGTGATTATAGAAAAATCTGTCTTCCTGGAGGGAGATGTTTCTCCCTAGCTAAATGTGCTTAATGCCTCTTTGTGGCATGGAAATTGAGAACTCATAGTCTTTACCCTGGTCTACATGATACCTGTTTATAAGCTTACAGTTTCTGTGATGGTTTAATTTTAGGGACTTTAAGTTTTGCTCAATAGCTTGTAGCAGTGAGTACCACAAGTTATTTTTTTGTGTTGTTCTGTTTCCCTTAGCAGTTTTGAAAGTGGACATGGCCTGTGCAGTCGTAGCTTGGAGAACACTCCAGGGGGTCAGTCCCTCCTGAGCCAATTTGTTGCAATTGCACACCATGACTTCAGCCCCCAGCACCAAAAGGAGTCAAAAACATTAAGGATGCAAGTCACTGTATTTCTTTCTAAAATCAGCACACATGGATGCTGCACACTGCAGCAAATCACTTGTCAGAATCCTGGTAAGAAAACAGAGCATCCTGAAGATGCAGATCACCTGGGCACAGGACGGTAGCTGGCTCTCACGCCACTTGCTTGACCAGTCACGCTCACCTGAACACTTGCAGTGACACACTTGTTGGTCAGAGGTGACAAGTGGTGGGAGCCAGAGAAACATTGAGGTGGAGCATGGATTGTTGTCGCTGTAGTATCAGAGGTGGTTTTTCACTTTCAGAGATTAAAAAGCTGTGGTGATCATCTGCCCCAGTTTGTTAGAGTCTACAAAGTTTCCTGAAGGGCTCTTTGCTTTCTTGCCCAGTCCTTGGGTAACACGCTAGTGAAAGGCCCTTTGGGGCAGAAGAAAGCAGAGCTTTATCATACATCCCTTAGGCCGTTGTGCAAACCTCGCCTTCTGCACCTTCTGCAGTGCAGCATCTAGCACCCCTTGGGCTGTGGATCATGCCCGCGGACTGCTGGCTGAGCTGAAGGGTGGGAGGGGCTGCAAGACACTCAGTCCTTGGCCAACAGCCATCTCATTAACAGCCAAGTCCCCCTGACTCCTGATGAGGTTGGGCCCCCAAAAGTGGCTGTTAATACAAGTTTGAGCTGGAATGAGTCTTGGAAGAACAAACTCATTTGACAGATGTTGTTGCATTTTAGGTAAATGGTTGTAGATTAACCTTCTCCACTGTGCAGGGGCATCACGTTCCCACCACCTTGTCCCAAACACACTTTCTTCCCCAGCTGCGTAGTGCCAGCACGAGGGTTGTCTCGGGGTGGCCAGTCTGCAGATCACGTCATGGTTATTTCTCAGTGACCATCCAGGAGGGAGCCAGGCTGTGCTGACTGGCAGACAGGCTTTGCCACACTTGCGTTATCTCTGCAGAATTATTTCCCGATAGCTGTGTTTTGAATATGCAAATCCACCCTAATTGGCTACGCTAATCACACTGCTTTGACTGGTTTCTGTTCTCAAACTGTTCAAGCCACTTGACAGGAACAAAGAAAATACCTCAGTTTCTTGCTTCCTTTAGCTGGAAAATGCTAAAATTTAAATGAAAAAGGAGAGCTATCTCAAAAGCAAAGAAAATGAGGCCGTGAAAAAGATTATTTTTTCAGATAAAAATATATTGACTTTTTTTTCTTGCCAGTCTTTACCATTTTCAACCTCCAAAAAACCTCTTGTCCCTAGAATAGCTGTGATACCTTTGTCTTGCCAGTATTTGTTTAGACAAAGTGAATCCTGGGCTTGTTCAATTCGCTTTGCAACACAAGGTAAACCATTGCTGTTCTGCAGAAGGCAGCTACTCTGATCTGCACAGGCAGAGGGGAAACTGCTGTGGGGATGAAGGGAAGACACAGCACAGACAAAAGTGAAGCGCCCAGATCATTTTAAATGTTTTAAGGAATCAATTTGCATGAGACAGCTCATGTTGGCTTTTAAAATTATTTTGCATTAAAAATTTAAATAATTAAAGGCTACATTCAGGTAACTTAAGGTTTGTTTTCTGAAATTGAACAAGCTTCTTCTTTACTGCTAAGTCCCTTTTGTATTCTTCTGGTGAGTTATTCTTAAATTATGGTTTTCTTCTTTGGAAGATGATGATGATAGTTAATAATATAAATAAGTACAAGTAATTTGTGAAATTTATTTCTTCTTAATTTCCTTAAGAGTTTGGTTTTAGGCAAGACAGTCTAACAGCCACCATGCTGTTAACTGCTTGGCTCCTTTTCTTCTGGCAACATGAGAAACTGGGTTATACAATCTGGGCAATGGATGTGCTGTGTAACCTGCATATCCATTATGAATTCTAATCTAATTAGATTACCCCTAGAAAGGCAACATATGGAAAGCTGCCATTTTTTATTTAATGATGTGCAGTATTACCTGCTGTAATGCCATCCTCTTGGAATATCATGTTGTGAGTGTTTGCTTATCTGGAGGGTAGAGAAGGGAGCCTCAAATATGTTTCCAGGATACACAGTAAAAAGCGATCTCTGCTCCAAATCATTCCACCTAAATAAATAGATCAAAGCACTCCAGTAGTTCCAGTGTATTTCACAAATTGGCAAGCAACATGAGAAGAAACTGGCTAGAGTGAGACTAAATGGTTTATCTAAGACACAGAAAGTCTGTGCAACACCTGAGCCTCCTCACCAATATGCTGGAATTCAGCTAACCTCTTCACGTGACCTGCAGCACACAGACCACAGAACAAGAAACACAGAGCTCTTCACCAGTTGCTCTGCTGGTTTTGACTGTTGTAAATTCACTATAATTAAAACACATTACAGTGCCAAAACACGTAATTATTGTACTTAGTCATACCTGAAACTGTTGAACACTACACCACCTGCTTTCTGATCACCTTGGTAAATTAAAGACATGAGAGCTGTTCAAAGCCTTCACTCAGTTCCAGCATTGTCTGAAGTAAACCCAAATCCACTAGGAGGTCTGTGGGTTGCTGTGATTAGGTGGGAATGCACTTTGCCTGGTGAGAAAGTGAAAGGGTTAATTCTCCACTCTTGGAGTAAGGAAAGAGGTCCACTTCTCTCTG